GCACAACCCACCCCTATTAATACCTTACTCTATTAATCCCCTCCCCTTTTAACCCTAAATATACAACTTGTGTAAATTAATTCACAAAATAAATACTAATATTCTAATATCTAATAAACATGATTGATTGATTAGGTTTGAAGGTAAATTTATTAGCGTGTTAATACAATATAAAACACCAATTTGATTCAATGATTATGACTAAATTCCTGGTTTATTTACAACAGAAATGGTATCCTGATGTCTTTCTTAGGAACTCGTGGAGGCCTTTCACGCTGGTACAACAACCCTGATTTTGAGAATGTTGATGATTTTATAAAATCTAAAAGTGAGACGATTGAAGAGGACTATTATTGGCGTGCAGTGGAGTTAGGAGATGATCGCATCCTTTACTCTGTACCGTTATTGACAAATGGTTATGTTAGAGGTAAAAATGCCTATTATAAATATATTTAAAACTAGAAATTGCAAATTGCAAGTGAAGTGCTGCGAAGTACAACTGCATATAAATTTTCTTCGAACAAAATTATTTATGCGAGTCAAGTGAAAATAATGAATAATAAAAATATAACAAATAATATGAGACACGACCCATTGTCTATATTAGAACACTTCTCATTGGGTAACAAAGTCGTAATTCTTCATTTTTGTCAAAACGTGTCTATAGTGGTGAAAGTTTCAAAAATTTCTATGTATGTGGAAAATGTAGTTGATTACCAAAGGTTACAATTTTAATTTTGAAGACTGCATGGTCTAGGAAGTGTACATTTTTTTATGGGGCAAGTTTCCAAGGGCAGGTTTTCTAGGGGCGAGTTGACTGCCAAAGAGTGTTGCCAAAGTGCGAGCCAGCGTGTTATTTGATCACAAGTGCGAGACATCAAGTGTGACCCAGAGAGCCATGACGTCACGACAATAGATACGAGACGTTAACGAGTTGTGTGAGGTATCGGCTGAGATTTGTGGAGTACAATTCAAAAAACAACTATAGGTCTAATAATGAATTATTGTGATGTTAAATAGACAATGTTAGCTATCAAGGAGCGACATTGTTTGGGACCTTCGTCCCTTCAAGGCTAGGCCTAATACCATCCTGCTAGTCTAGGACTAGAGTAGGATAAGGCTCCGCTTTTCAATCGTCTTAGGCCCTTGTTTTTTGACAAACAATGACCTTTCAGAGGTCAAATTGCTGTCAAGAATATGAATTGGCTGCTTCGCAGCAAAAATATATTACCCAATAACAATAAATGACAATCAGATTTCTGAATTAATTTCTATTAACTGAACATTATATTTGCATTAAGTGTATTTTATTGTTAACATTTTAATTCATCCAGTAAACCTACAACAAACTTCAAGATAACAATGATTTGATTTATTGTGTATACTTGCAAATTTAACTAATACAAATTTAAAGCTTTAAAAATTTACTTTTGATTGTGTTATGTTTTTCATCCAAGATTTCAGTTTCCTCGTCTTTGATTGACTTGTTCTTGATTGGACTTTCATTTCTGTCGATCAGATCCCACGGGGGCGGAGCCTGATCCTCAATGCGTCTTAGGGCGTACTTAAAGACTCCAAATCCAGACAGCCCAGTTGTAAACCAGTATTTCTCAACTTTATATAGACCTGTGAAATAGAAGAATATGCAACATTATCACAAACCAGGTCAAGTCTTTAAATAGAGTAGCAGAACACAAAATTGGGCAATTTTGAGGGTGGAGAAATACTCTTTTCAATCAAAATGCAAATTTTCAGCACTACGTGCCTAATTTAAAGCCAATGTTTGACTAATTTTTAGCTCTGATGAGAAACATGTGACTGATTAATTAATAGATCTTTTGGCTCTACTGCCTCTATTATACTGCCCCCACGAGGCTGACTGATTAATAGTTGATAATACTGTAGATCATTTTTACTCTACTTTCTCTATTATACTGCCCTCACTTGGAAGAAACTTTGGTTGATTTATTAATAGTTGGTTAATTAATGGATCTTTTTTAGATCTACTGCCTCTATTATACTGCCCTCAACAGAGCTTTTGAGATTACGAGAACCTGTTTTCTTTTAGAGTATTTGTAAAAGCTAACAACGCTACTCATTCAAATCCTACTGTACCCTGGGCTTTGCCGGACAAAGGGCTTGTACGAAAAAGTGGATGAAAAGTAAGGAGTGGGCATCGTATTAAAAGTTTACTACCTCTAATGAAGATTTTGATCTTTTTTTTAAATATCCTGATCATTTTTAAATTTCATTTTTTGCTTTTAAACATAAGACCATAAAACACATTACAGTATCTGCCAAATTAAGGATCTGTAATGCATAACAGTAATGTTAATATTGATAGATAGATAGATAGATAGATAGATAGATAAGTATTTTGTTGTGCATCACACCAAGGATAACCCGGGAGTCTGAAGACTTGTTTTGGGATCCTTCTGATGGTAAATTTGGCAGTACACCGGGAGACAATCCCCTATTCTTTTCCGAAGAGTATACTGCGTTCTTTAACAAGCACATGGGCCATACTGCACATAGGACCAACGGCTTGAATGTCTCATCCGAAAGACGGTGCGCTATCGTAACTTGTATTTCAGCCCTCCAGCTGAAGGAGATGCATCCAAACACTGGCTTGAAAAATCTTTTTTAACAACTTTTCTAATATACAATTTAAGTAAAGCAGAGTTTTAAATTTTGTCTTTTTCTATATTTTTCATTAAAATTAAAATACTTCTTCGTGTCTATGGTAAACAACAAACAGAAGCATTTTTATTGGTTAAATTAATGCTGTTTTACAAACCATCATAGCGGTATCCGTCATCAGGGGCAAACGGACTATCAAGTTTGTAGCCACGAATGACCCGCACAGGTCGACCGTTTTCTGCATTGCGACTCAAAGCCAAATTTACTGTAATCAAAGTAGAAATTATATTAATGTACAGAAACATTTTTGACATCATGTCTACACAGGATCAAAGTGAAGGTGGGGGTAAGCATATCACAGCATGTAGGAGTCTTAAAACATTTGGTTTTTCCAACCTGCAGATTGGGGTTTCAATCCCTCACTTTGCATTTCGCCTGTGTCCTTGAGCAAGACACTTTTATCTGCATTGCTTCTATTAAAAATCATCTTGAAGAGCTTAAAGAAAATAAAACCAACCCATGAACTATTCTAAAACTAACCAGTAACAATTTACCAGAGAATCAAATTGAGAGCGAATCAGCATCACTGAAGCGTTCTCCAGCAATTTGAGACACATGGCACAAAAAGCATTCACAGGTGCTCTAGTGATACTAGTGATTAATCTAAAATATCCTTAAGAAACAAAAACGAGAAAAAAACAAACGAAAAGAGAACATATTAATTAGAGAGACTGAAAAGAAGTGTTTTCAGTTGTGTCTTGAAAACAGACAAGGACGAAGCTTCATGGATTAAAGACAGCAGCTTGTTCTAGCGAAAAAAAAAGTGAGAAATAAACAAGTGTATGAATAGAAAATTACCTCTTGTTAAGGTTTGGTCTTTGGATTGGGGTGCAGTTCGTAAGTTCTTTGGGTTGCTTTTTGTCCCTTTGAGGTCTCGCCCGCCTATGAAAACAAAACATCCACAGTTTATTATAGCTACTTATTTATTTTCTATGGAGAATATTGGAACATTATACAGTTGATTTCACCCACGAACAGTGAGAATCTGCCAGAAATCAGGACACCCTCCCACACTCTCACAAGCAAGCAAAAATCTCCTGGAAACCAACCCATCTCCCACAAATTCATGCTAGCATGTTTTTACAAGTGTATTATCAATTGTCTGGATGTCAGCTGGTGATGGGTATCATCAAGTGCAGCAAAATAAAATAAGATGTGTTAGGAAAACTCCTTTCCAATTTCTTAGAAGTGGTTTTTTACTTCGGACCATTGTCATTGTTTATACAGTCAATTCTTAAATATATTTATTGAGAACCTTTTATAAAAATTGTTGGATTCCACTTAATAAACTATGAGTACTATACAGTATTTGTTAGCTACATTCCAGTGAGATACGCACCTTTCCCCAAAAAAGCTGGCACCCCCAGTCACCCACCCCTCTCTACCGAAAATGTTTGAAGCAAAAACTAGAATTACTATTTTTTATTCTATGCAGTAAAGGCAGAAATATTTCTCCAGTATAAAAAGTTAGAACCTTTGAATTCTGAAAATGTATAAGCATTTTGAATTTGTGTTTAGGGTGAGTATTATAGCTGGGAGGGGAGTGGGATCACCGGTCTTTTCCCCCACCCCCGCCAGTGGCGTAAAAATCATGTTCAAGTAGCTAGCTAGTAGTAGCTAGCACGTATCGAGCCCAACCCCAATTTCACCTTCGCACCCCATAAGCCACCCATTTAAGGACTATCACTCCTAGATACACCAATGTTACATTCATCATCACGTTACCTGAACCAGTGTATGTGAAACAGTCACCAAGGTCAACATCATCTTCGTAACCTCCGGACAACGCCAATGAATAGCATCCCTCCTGTTCATTTCCATGGATGCCAGCCACGGTAGGCCTATGGATCCCAGCAGCTGAACATTCCATTCTTGACCACCACCAAGTACCTACCTCCACTCCTAAAAATAAACAAGTTCTTTTAATCTCAAAAGCTCAAAGGAGGGCAGTATAATAGAGGCAGTAGATCTAAAAAAGATGATCTATTAATCAATCAACTATTAATCAATCAACCAAGTGTTTCTAGAGCTCCTCATGAAGGCAGTATAATAGAGGCAGTAGAGCTCAAAAAGATCTATTAATCAATCAACTATTAAGCAATCAGCCACATGAGGGCAGTATAATAGAGGCAGTAGATCTAAAAAAGATCTATTAATCAATCAGCCGATCGTTTCAAGAGCTCCTCATTGGAGCTAAAAAAAAAGAAAATTCCATATTTGAATATTTCATTATCATTATTTTTATAATCAAATGATTACTTGCGATCTGTAATCAAAACACTTGTAAACTGACCCACATTTTATAAAAAGAAAATTGCGGAAGTGGGTTGGCGCAGGACAGTTGGTTTCCCAGCCTCGAGGTAGGGGTTTCAATCGCTTGCTATGCACTTTGTTGTATTTGTCCTTGAGCAAGGCACTTTGACTGCATTGCTACTCTCCACCCAGGAGTATAAGTGGGTACCTGGTAGGGTTGCTTGCTACTGCACCAATATGGCAGGAACACGTTGACACAATTAACAGAGAAAATAAAGCGCTTTGTAACCTAAAGAAAAGGCGTTATATAAACACAAACAAGTAACAACAAGTTGTAGCTAAAATTTAAATTTTAATAATGTATTGGTATTATGTATTTCAGATACTTGAGTATGTTTAATCTTTAGGATGAGTGATTTAAAATTTTTCTCGCAGGGCGAGTGTGTCTCACTTCCTTTGGCCTTGTCACTTGCTGTACCCGGTATACAAACCTAAGTGTAAGTTGCAAGTAAAAGCAATTGACTGAATTGAATTGTTTAAAATTAGCTCCTTCAAGCCCTAGATATTACTGAGTAATATTATAGCATTCCTGGATTTTGAGAAATAGATTTTCATAAATTTGTTTCAATCAAACTAATTACCAAAAAGGTATGCAATAAATATTTGTTAACAAATTACAGAACTAAGAATTCGGGACATGCATAATAAGATATATAATTGGTGAGTTAAAGTGGGAGAAAATGTAATTCTAGACAATGTTAAAGCTCCTAAGATAGTATTAAACAAATTCCGAAAAAAGTGATACAAGCCATTATTGATTCTATATTTAAGTCCTAATATAACTCATTTACAGTCTGTATTCAATACACACTAGTGCAACAACTCAATTACATCATTGGCAAACAAGTCATCCAAAATGAACATGAAATGATATGAGTGTGCAATTAACATCAATAAAATGAGAAAACCTTTATCATTTAATAACACAAACTTATATATGTTTTTCATAAATCTACCTGGAATTACTCCAAAGGAATTCTCCCTTGGAGGTGCTTTCTTTGGCTTGTAGGCTACATCATTGTTGTACGATACATCATCTACTAGCAGCTCCTTTCCTTCCAGAGCTTTCTGAAAAATAATTTTTTTCTTTTTTAAATTCATATCTCCAAAAACAAATCCAAACTTACAAACAAAAGACATCCAAGATAAAAGAATAGAAAATAAAAAATAGGTTCCTAGTGAAAGTGTGTGTCTACTACCCGACATAGTTTTCTGGTTTGTTTATTTTTGGCTACTTTTAACTCACCCACGCTTCCAGTGTTGGAAATTCACTTGAATAACTGTACAAGTAACAGACTGTCGGCCACTTAGTAAACTTTCTGGCACAGGTCTTATCCAGCAGCTTTCTGTGTTGGTGATTCACTTGAATAACTGTACAGTAGAACCTCGATTTTACGTATGGTACGGGACCAGAGGGCGTACGTAAATCGGGGGATTCGTAAAATAGAGGTTGGGTTAAATTTGTGGTAACCTTTGACCTAATACCTACGTAATGCTCAATAAACGTATGTACGAACGAACGATGATACCTGGGCTAGACCTAGCCTCTAGGCCTAGGCCTACGAATAAAACCATGTGTTTAGTGTTTTTATTCATCACTTTACGTTGTCATAATAAAGTGTTCAAATAAAACCATGTGTCTAGTGTATTAATTCATCACTTTATATCTTTTATTTAACTAAAATAAAGAACATAAAAATATTGTAGATTACCTATACGACAATGGTATAACTTGGGAATTCCCCTTCATGCCTATTCTAAACAACAGAGATGTGCCAACCAATTAGCGTTCTTGTATGTGAAACAGCAACCATGTGCTATGCACTGGGCGACAAGCGTTCGTGTACGAAACTATGTCTACTCAGCTTCGTGTAGAAAATTCGACCAGACGAGTTCTTCCATGGTTTGCCACACGAAGCTAAGGAGGAAAGCAATAATTTTGAGCACCGTCGGTCGTTCATCTCACTCAGTTCACGTGGCTTTAGATTATAACAACCCGGTATTAGACTCAATCAACATTGCTGTTTAATGAAAATACGTTGCATTATGGTTTGTTTATTGTTATAGTTTATTGTTATATTCTTTTTACTTATGGTTGCTCTCAAAAGGGCCATTTGTTTTGAATATTTTTGGGGTTTTTGATGATGTCATCGTCGATACGAGGCGTACGTAAAACAGAGGGTTCGTATAACTGGGGTACGTAAAAACGAGGTTCTACTGTACAAGTAACAGATTGTTGACATTTTAGTCCTTTCTAGGACAGGTCTTATGTAGCATGGCATCCTATTTCATAAACTTTACTTTTAATTTTTATCTTTAGCCCATCAGAACCATCCCATCATTATCCTCCACCAGATTTACTCTTACAAAGTCAATTGCCAGACGAAAAAGCGTCTACTGACCCCCAAAGGGGTAGTAGACACGAAAACCAAACAAATCTGATAAAGTCACTTATAAAGATACAAGCAGGGAATATCAACTGCCAGTGCCTAGTGTGAGAGTTTCACCGGAAGCAGCGGCGTAAGAAAAACATCAACGGAGCACCAATCAAACTGCCTCCATCGCTTACAGTAACCGTGCCCTGCAAAAGCTCTCAATATAAGCAGCTAAAAAATGTAAATTCATTCATTTGGTTTCCAATGTTTTTAGATTTATACTTTCTATTTTGCATTTCGATTTCACAAAAAAAAAATAATTAGGCCTTTCATAAAAGGCTTTAGATTTTTTCAAATTTTGAAAAAAAATTAAAAATTGTTCACCAAAAAGTAATGTGAATAATAACAAAATAAATATTTGTTCACAAATGATTCATTATAAAATGTACAATACAGTCATACATCTATCTACATGTGTAATGTTATATATATTACTTATCTATGTTACAGTTAGTAACATGAAACCCCTTTTTGCACATGACTTGTTACGTTAAGCCTGGCATTCACTACGACGACCCCCAACTCTGCTGTCTGTGAGCGCTAGACATCTCAACGTAGTCTGCTGATTGTCGGAGGCAGTATGAACTGACTGTCCTTAAAAATGACTCAGTGCGCATGCGTCGTGGAGTTCCACATAGAATCGCGGCGGCCGACGTCCGTTGGGCGCAATGAGTGCTCGGCTTTACATCATCTATCTCGTTACCCTGGCGATTATCATGATCATTATTCTCACAGTGGATTTAAGCCCAAGCCAAGCTAGCCTGGAACCCCACCCACCCACCTAAAAAAATCTATTAGCTGGGATTGCTGCTGTGTTTAAAGAGCTACAATGAGGGATTTTACATTTGAATGATTTCAAATTATTTTTCCAGAATACAAGTTGAAGTTCAAAAGAACATTTATTTCTCAAAAATAATGCTACAAGTATAATAAATAACTTGCCAAGTTAGAGGGACGAAAACCCAGAAAGCGGAGCTTGTGTAGGGCTGCCCTGAATAGACTAAAAAAAAAAAAAAAAATACAGAACAAAAAACCAAAAACAAGACACACACATACGAGAAAAAAGCACAAACAAAACTAGCCCAAAAAGGGAAAAGAGCCAACAAAATGGGTGACAAGAAAACTGGACAACACAAGGATGCTGCAAAGTGATACGTGTTAGTAATAGTGATCAGGGATAGGTAAAGGGAATTCAAAATTTTGCATAATTTGATAGGAGGTCTTACAATCAATATGTAATATGGAGCTATACTATTAAGATATTCTTGGCAAATTGTAGGCCAATTTTTTTTTCATAGATATTATTAGACTTACCTGGCCTTTGAGCCTTCGGGAGCGACGATGGCCATCAGCAAAATCACTACCGTTATTCGTTTGGAACTCGGTGCCATCTTCACGAACAATCACCTTCCGTGGTGGCTCTGGGCGTGCTTCTCGCTTCCGTTTGACAGTCTTTTTCACAACTTTTGGAAATCTTTCAAACTGAGCAAGTAAGTAAATTTGATTAGATTTCAGGGAAAAAGAACCTATTAATTAGCAGCTCTTTGGATGATGGAGTTTTCTGAATAATACTAACATTTTTATATCCATTTTTTATAAATGATATTTGGATATTGGATTATTTACAATTCTATTATTTCTATACTGCTTAATAGGCCTACACCAATTCTGGATCTCCATCAAAAAAACTAATAATACTTACTGGGTTGATCAAGCCAAGTTCAGCAAGAACTTTCTTATTGTCTTCAATGTTTTTTAATCGAATCTTCTCATACTCTGACAGTGCTGTTGGCATCTTGAACAGCTATACAAGTTTATCACTATATTTAAATCTAAAAGCAAACAAATACTGTATATATTCCACTCACTGTGAACAAATATTTATGCTGTGGGGAAAGAATCAACTGAATGTTCTACAGACAAAATAATATATGCCAAATATTCTTTCTTTCTTAATATTACCAAATATTATTTCCATCTAAAGTTACATATAAAAATTTTGCAGTGACATTTTTATAATCAATACATGATATTTCATACTCTTTGGAGAAAGTTTGCTGCATATATTTTTTCTTTGATTTATTCAAAGTATAGACTAATGTAAAGTAATATTTTTATCACTAAGTGAGGAGAACTAGGTCGCAAAATAAGGGGATTTTTAATTGAGCATGATTTTTTTTGCCTTGGGTACTTTCAATAAAGGGAAAACAGGGGGAAGGTGGTGGGACTTGAGTCCTCTTTTTTGGCCATGATGGATGCTGGTTTCGGGAAGGGCGTATCTAGGATTTTTGGAATTGTGGGGGGGGCTGAATTTTGCATCATTACGGATGTACGAAAATAGCCAAAAATACTAGAGAAATTTTATCATAAGCCTAGACCCATGAATAAATAGTCTGGAAGTCCCAAACAAATAACATTCCACCAGAATATTTAGTTAAATTGTCCCTAGACAACTTATTCTTCACATATTTCTGTAAAATTATTGTGAAAACAATGAAAAAGTGGCTGTAACTATTCACCCTATCCCATTTCGTAAAAACTTAAAAAAAGTTTTTTTTTAGCTTTTTTCTTTAAAAAAAAATAAAAAAAAAATGTGAGTGAATTTATCTCTATTTTTTGCCAGATGCCCTACAAATTAGTCTAAAGTTGTTGTCTGATGTAAGATATTGCCATTCTAGGCCTCTGTGTGTTACTTTTATTCCACCTGATGAGTATTTTTTAAAAAATAATAAATACAGGCACATGGAAAAAATTATTAGATTATCATTCTTTTAAAAAAAAAAAATCGATGAGGGAGGGCGGTTTTTTTTAATTTTTTTTAATCGGATTATTTCGCTTCTGTTTTCATCGATGAGGGTGGGACTGTTTATATTTAGCTAGTGGTTTCATTTTATAGTTTTTTAAAGAAAATGTATCTGAAGTCACAAAATTGCATTGCTATTTTTATGATGTTGAAATAATTGATGTGGCAAAAACATTTTTTTTTTATTCCCGCATCAATATTTCCCAAATTTTTGATGCGGGCGGGAGTGATAATCTAATAAATTTTTCTATTTGCCCTAAATAAAAAAAAAACTTTTTCCACCTGCCCCTATTTATCATTTAAAAAAAAAAAGAAGGCAAACAAACAATTTATTTTATTTGGCCTAAGCGCAAGTTTTGCCAGTGTTGCGTAAGACCGTAAGATTTCATTGGAATGCGTAAGACTTACGGCGAATGCGTACAGGTTGACATGTCTGGTATGATAAAAGCTTTGTCTGCATGATCCCATACTAGGTAGGTACCACACGATGTGACGTCACGCACTTCAATTAGTGCCATTAACCCAGTTCAGCCAAGCATGTTTTTGTCAACAAAGCCCTTAAGAAAATATTAATATAAAATGCTTTTTGATTGGTTGAGACGTTTTCATCAGGTCAGTCAGGTCACTCAGGGGTCGAAGTAGTACACCATTTTGATTTTTTCCGAAATTGGTCAACTTTTATCAAAGTTATCAGCTTTTGAAAATTTCATTAAAATTCGTCGTTTTTTCCAGAGAATTGCGAGTAATAAAGTTCAATTTTTTAATAACGAAGATTAGTTTATACTGTATATATATCTAAGAGTTTATTTGCCAAATATGAATGTAAAATACGAGGCGTAGCAATAATTTTTTTTTTGCCATCGCAAAACCGACGATCAGCTGTTGATCGGCCGTCGTTTACACATTGTCGCGAGTTAAACCATAACGATCTTAACGAAAGTGCTGCATATAAACGGCAATATTTTTCATGTAAATAAAATAAATGAGTTAAAAAAGTTAACTACAGTAAATGATACTTAAAGTATTAAAATATACTTTTAGCTAATGAGTATCTAAAACAATAGTTAAATATTAAGGATTGAAGTGGATATTAAACATAGGATGATTTTGAGAGAATTGTGAGACATTGCTAGTTTTTGTTGCGAGAGGATTACGTCATGCGTAACGGCCAATGAAATGAAATGAATTTCGTCATTTGAAGTCCGGTGGGGGATAGTTTTACTTCTAGATTACCGCTGGTAATATTTTTATTTTCATTTGTGTAACTTAATCTAGTACATACGGTAATTATTATTTCCAGGCCCGAAACCTAGACTCAAAAATACCGTGGTGTCCGGCGGGGGATAGTTTTACTTCCAGATTAATTCTGGTAATAAATTTTTTCATATATTTATATTTATGTACTGTATATAGTTTTTATTGTATTTTAGTTTGTGAATTTCGATTTTAGAATTGTGGGTCAAAGGTCATCTGAAAAATTTATAATTTTCGGGTCCTTAATGAGTATTAAGGCTACATGACCAATGTAATTTGCAGTAAAAATTTACAATCAAAATGTACATTTTTTAGCATTTACAAAAATTAACAGAAATATATGGCAAAAAGTGACAGAAATAATATTATTGTTAACATGCAACTAACTATTTTACGTGCTCAGAAACTTCAAATGTTTATTATAAAACCGTAACCAGGGACGTTTTATATTCAACTTTGAATTTATCATGTGGTGCCTGTCCTAGCTAGGCTGGTAGATAGCCTATTAGATAACAATTAACGCCTTCCTCACCATCCTGTCAAGAGAGAGAATGCAAACACCGGCAGACGAGAAGGCCCCCAGTCGCGTCGTACTTTCTTTCAATCAATCAATCAAGTACTCCTACCAGGGAACAGCTCCTGCTCCTACCCAGCTCTAGAGGGCCTGCCTAGCCCTGGATGCGGGCTAGGGCTAGCCTAGGCCAGGCCTGGCTGATATTTTTAGATTAATAATAATAATAATAATAATAATAACAATAATAATAATAATAATAATAATAATAATAATAATAATAATAATAGATGGATTTATATAGCGCAAATAAACGAGGTCTCTATGCGCTTGACAATAATGAAGTCAAGAACACAAGGAAAAAAGCCGGGGAAAAAAAAACAAAAAACACCAAGCTAGCACCCAAACCGAAGTATGGATGGGGTTACACCATCACCGCCAACCGGAGATCTGTGTTAATTAGTACTCCGAAGATTAGAAGCCAGGGATATTTTTATCCAGGCCTAGACTAATATTCCCTGCTAACACATTGACTTGAACAATTTGTTACCAATATGTTATTAAATTAAATATCAGAATATACAATACAAGTTCTATTGAGTGAAATACTGTACTTACTCTGCAGACTGCAAGCACGTGCCTCTGTTTTGTATAGCTAGCGAAATTTAAATTGGATTGGTAGATGATGATGAGTAAAACCGCGCGAAATTAGTCTAATTTCACCAGCAGTCGCAAATAGCCCGTCGGCCGGGACTATATAATAAAAAGATATTGTGAATTGATAGGCCAGATATCAGGTATAGGACCGCAAGTCAAATAAACTTAATAAGGTGAGTAATTATTCCTATCAGCGTGACCACTCACAATTTTTGATATACCCAGTGTCTGGGTCGAAATTACCCAAGATTCAGAAAAAAATGCCCAAAATTACCCAAGCTTCCTGAAAATGCATTAAAATTTGAAAAAAAACCCCCCGTGTTTCTTGCATGTATATTTTCCTTTTAGTTCAATTTATAAACCATTTTTTATTGTAATTGTTTGTGTTAATTATTAAAATTAATATTCATGAAGTGATAATACAGATAGAAAAATACGCCCTCAGTCGGCCAGTGTTATCAGTAGATCAGTGATCAAGTTTTATTATGTAATGCCAATTAGGTAAGATCAATGGCAACGCAAATCACAAATAAACAATTCTGAACCCATGTTTATAGCAATTAACAGTCAATTAACAATGTTATGGGCACTTCGTTGAGTTTTGCTTACTTGAATGGACTGACATATACTTTGTTACTTCTTAATTCTTCCTCTATTACAAAAACATTTAATTTTCTTTGAAAAAATAAAATACCCAAGGATTTGAACGGAATACCCAAGAACCCAAGACCAAGTCAAAATACCCAAGATCTTGTGTAAATACCCAAGCAGTGGTCACACTGATTCCTACTCATTTTTTATCTAGAATATAACTATTATATAAATATTATAATAAATTTAGTTTATGGTAAGTTATAATTCATTAAAAACAGTTGTTTTAAGTTCATTTTCGTTTTTCATTTTTTTCATGCTTTTAAAATTTTCTTTCATTTTCTAGTCGTTTCCCCAGTTTTTTCCTTATGACTTGTTTTTGGTCCATTTCTTTTCTTCTGTAGCCTAATACTTGTTTTTCTTGCTTTCTTCTTTTCCTTTTCTTTTTCCGCTTTCCCTTTCCTTTCCTTTTTTTTTACTCGTTTCCGATATAGGCCTATCTAAATTTCTTAATTTTCCTTTCCTTCCTCTTTATAGTTCCTTCGTATATTTCTCTTTTTCTTTCTTTACCTTTTCTTTCCTTTACCTTACTAGTTCATTTATTCATTCATTTATTTATTCATTCATTCTGATGATTCATACTTTCGTTCATTCACTTCAACATGAATGCAACATAAAAACATGGTCAGGTGCATCTAAGCAAATATCTTACCGTAACTCAGTTAAAAAATCAGCGGCCCCTCATACAAAAAAATATATAATAAAAATAGCATAGACAAATAATTTATATATTAAAACAATTTTAATATATTACAAATTACAATAGGCCGAATTCAAAATCCTCTTTTAATTTCTTTTCCTTTCTTTTTCTCTTCCTTTTTAATTCATTTTCCTTCCTTTGTTTCAATTTGCCTCTGCCTCTCTCTCAATTTCCTTTTCCATTCTTTCACTTTTCTTTCTATTCCATTAAAATGTATTTCAGTAAATATTTTTCATGGGGGGGGGGAATGATTGGCATGTTAGCCAGTGTCGTAACAGGCGGGGGGGGGGGGGGGGAAAACTCCTACCGGGCTGGGTAATAAGAGAAAAGAAAGAGGAGAGAGGGAGGGAAAGAGAAAGAAGAGGAAAAGAAAAGGAAAGAAAAAGAGAAGAGAAAGATAAAGACAAGAATAAAAAGGAATTAGATATCATAATGACCAGACTCACAACACCCTGCAACCCCTTCTCCACTTCAAAAACTGTCATAACTCCTTTCTATGCTGCCCGATGGCGTAACCACTGTGGGACAAGGGGAAAATATCTATCTTTGGATAATCTTCCCCACCCCTTTATAAATGCCCTTTCATCCCCTGAAAGTGCCTAAAAACCTCAATTTTTGCGCGCATTTCTTGTTAACATGGCCCAATTTCCTCTAAATTGCACATTTTAGGGAGTTTTATCAATTCCAACGATTAGAATTAAAAACACCGGGGGACAAGGGGAAAATATCCATATTTGGAAAATCTTTCCCCACCCCTTGACAAATGCATCCTCTGAAAGTGCCTAAAATTCTCAAATTCTTTGCGCTCATTCTTGTTCCGGTAGGCCAATTTCCTCTATAGATTGCACATTTTAGGGAGTTTTCATCAATTCCGACGAAATTAGAATTAAAAACACAAAAATATTTTGCGCGCATTTTTTAGGGCATTTTTAGTTTTATCCTTTTAAGTTGTTTAAACACATGTCCCAAACTCAAGGAAGACAAATTTAAGAGATCATTTTAACCTAAAAGAAGGGCCTCAATGTGTATAGATGGTGAAAGAATATGTTTGTAATAAATAAAACCATGATGAAAATGCTTATATTTAGTTTCAAACACACGTGTGTGGCCTATATTATAAATAAGATAAGCCCTATGTGGTATTGTTTTCTATGTGGGGTGGGGTGGGGTAGGTATGGTAAATTACTAACCGGGAAATGAGGATTGTATGTTATTATTATTATTATTATTATTATTATGTTATTATTATTATTATTATTATTATTATTATTTTTGCAAAATAAATTGATGGAATTTGCTATTATAGGCCTAATCAATAAATTCCTCAACCGATATAACCTTAACATTCTTGGAATTGACATAACATTACTGATGTCGTACACCCTTCAGTGTGAAATGTGGCTCTCTTTGCAAGCACATCTAACATCTAAGGAAAGAAGAGCTTATATTGGTAAAGATAAAATAATTTTTTTATCAACATTAATACATTAGGCCCTATGCTAATTTTCATCTTTGTAAGACAGAGCAAATTATTTCTGTGACAGTCTTTTGAAGTGTGTAAAACTCCATTAATTTATCCCATACATAGTCAAAATATTGGGGGGGATGATACAATGGACCATCCCCTTGTCAAATATTGGGGGGGGGGGATATATCCCCATCCCCCTGGGATCTATGCCTATGAATATTACTTATGCACAATAGATACAGTCATAAGATTAATTTCATGGCCGAACTTTTCAACGTCTGGATTGTAGATTAGTGAATATACACAAAAATACACAGAGACCAAGGTCTGTGAGTAGGGTCAAGGCCTCCATACACTGCTACAAAAGTAAATCAACATTTGATTCGCATAAACAGGCCATTACTCTATGATGTCAAACTTACTACTAAGAGGTCAAAAAACATATATTAGCCCTAGATTTTATAAATCGCTAGCATCTCTTTCATCATCAACTGCAAATCGTTTTTTCTCATCATCATCACCGTCGTCGACCTCCTCCGAAGCATCATCATCTGCTGAGCTGAAGAGCAGTTATGATGCGATTGTTATTGGGGCTGGACACAATGGCTTGGTTTCGGTAAGGTTGAATTTACGTTTACGTGGTTACATCGTCGAAAAAGATCAATAAGCCCGTCACGGCAAGGAACATAATAAGATTAAGAATGAATCCATTGGTCATCCCCACGGTCGGTTTTTGAACCACCATCTGGGGGTTGAGAATCGAACTTTCTGTGGTTAAAATCAACTTGCAATTGCATGTATGTGTCACTATTCGAAATTACTTGTATAAAATCATTAAATAATCTAACACTCCACTACTACTACTGGTGTACGGTAAGAATGGCCCCGGAAAAAATGGCCCCATATGAAATGTAGGTAAAAATGGCCCCAATAATCAAATTCTGTATTAAAACTGATTTTCTTGAGTCAATATGCATTTTTTATCTTAAATAATTTAGTTTTTAAAAGGAATCTAACATCAAACAAATTGCCATTTACATTTTACTTTTTGCAATAATTAATATTCAATGATAAAATATTCAAAGATAAATAAAAAGCCATGAATTTCACTTTTTATTTTTTTTTTCCATTTAAATGTTAAAAAATAGCAACAACAAAATCAATAAATCAACATAAATCATGCATTTATTAATACTAAAATAATTTATTTGTGGCCGATTTCACGGTAGAGGAATCACAATTTCCCAGAAATTCAATCTGTCTATTGGTAAACCCCACAAACCGTGGGTTAGTATGAACATAAAATTATTATTATTTTTTTTTAAGAAAAAGAGAGTTCTAAAATCATAATTATATGGTTTAGATGGGGTTTGCAGTGTGTTTAGAGGTTTGTGATGTATTTGCAAGTATTTTTTCATAACAAAATCTAAATTTTAACCAAAAAATAGTTTGTAATGTATT